CCCCAAAACCCCAAAACCCCAAAACCCCAAAACCCCAAAACCCCTTTTTTTAAACGTACTATTGAATGATGTCTAAAGCTTAATGATGCTGAATTTCTTAAACAGTTGAATTGACTGTCTCTGTCCTTGTTTGGGTTGAACCATCAGGGAATGTGTACGTAGTAGTGGTCTTAACAGTTTTCTTCCCTCCACAAGTATTTGTCTTAGTACTAACAGATTTTGATGTGTATCCTGCAGGTTCTCCATGAGAGGAGCTTAAAGAGCTTAATCCATGATCTCCAAATCCGTCATCACCTAAACCATGATGACCGAATCCTTTTAAGCCACTTCCGAAGTCGCCAAAACCCTTATGATCTAATCCGCCTCCCATTTTGCTTCCAAATCCTCCAAAGTCATCATCATCAAATCCTGCTCTTTCTCCGAAATGCATTTTCTTTTTAAAATCATCAATACCTTTGCTTCCAAAATCGTCAAAATCACCAAAGTCACCAACTCCATCTCCAAATTTGCTTGTGCCAAAGTCATCTTTCTTCTGTTTGCTCATGGGGCATCCACCTGTAGTGTACTCAATCTTATAAGTCCCATCATCAAGCTTTATCTTGTAATTATCTGTAAGTCCCATAGCTCTAATTTGATCTTGAATTTGCTTTGGGCACATCTCAAGAGGGATATCATTAGGGTCATCATAATCTTTACTACTCTCATCAAGGTGAACTTTATATTTTCCAAAATCTCCAGGACTCTTTTTAGGCTTGTAGTCCCCACTTCCTTTGGAGATACCTCCAGCATAGTCTAGGACAACACAGTTATCCCAGGTAGGATGATCGTGGAATCCAACTCCCATATAGTTATATCTTGTTTCAAAGACGTTGTCTCTATGTCCTCTGCTTGAGACTCCGTCGTCGACTACTAGTCTAAGTACAGTCTCTTTCCCATCTCCTGCTTTGTAACTGATATTCTCTCCTTTCATGCCTGAAGGCTTACAGTATCTAGCCATTCGTTCAGATACTGAAGAGCCATCTAGATATTTCAAGGTTAGCTTTGTTATAGGTACGATATAAACTTTGAATAAATAGGGTAGAAATACTGGAGCCGAGCTCAGAACCAAAGATTCTACTTACCAGTGCCTGAATGACCTCTCGCTCCGTTCTTTCCTAAGTCTTCAGCATGATCTTGAGCTGAGCTGCACAACTCCTGTGAGAGTGTAAGTTCATGAACAGGCTCTACACTTTCAAGAAATCTAATCGCTTCCCTAGAAATAAAAACAATATTTTACTTCACTGCCTTAGGTCCTTCCTTGGTGATCAAAGTCGGTCTGCCAGGACGCATCAGGTTATTTCCATCGAACATAGTCAGTTTCTCTTCTAGAATTGGAATAAAGCTTTGGGGATCGGTTCTTATCTTGTTATGAGCATTTAAATAATCATCAATATATTCTTGAGCTTCCATAGTGGAAATATCTGATGAATTAAATATTCTTTTCAAGAGAATAAATCTTCCTAGGGGTTTTGGGGTTTTGGGGTTTTGGGGTTTTGGGGTTTTGGGGTTTTGGGG